GGGCTGGGGATTCGAACCCACCACCTTAGGTGTATGTGGCTGGCGCCTTAGCTGCTTGAGCCACAGGCGCCGAGCCCATCCCTTTCTTTTTAGAATAGTTTTAGGTTCACAGAAAAATTCAGTGGAAAGTATAGAGAATTAATTATGTTCCCTGCCCCTTCATACACAGAGCTTCCCCCAATGTAAAATCCCCCACCACAGTGGTCAATTTACTACAATCAATGAACCTATATTGACAATTATTGTCTAGAGTTTTCATTAAGGTTCAATGCTGATGTACAGTCTATGGGTTTTGACAAGTGTATAATTCCACCATTTTAATACCAAACAGAATAGTTTCACTGCCCTAAAAATTCTCTGGGCTCTGTTGATTCATCCCTCGCTCCTCCCAACTCTGGCAACCACTAATCTTTTTACTGTCTCCATAGTCTTGACTTTTCTAGAATTTCATAAAATTGGAATCATACAGTATGCAACTTTTTCAGATTAGTTTCGTCCCCTTAGTAATATACATTTGTTTCCTCTATTTTTTTCACTGTCTCATAAGTTATTTTTTAGCATTTTTAAAATTGTATTTATTTTTGGCCGGGGCTGGGTTTGAACCCACCACCTCTGGCATATGGGGCCAGCGCCCTACCCTCTTGAGCCACAGGCACCACCCTATTTTTCAGCATTGAGTAATATTCCATTGTCTGGATGGACTACATTTTATCCATTCACCTACTAAAGGTCATCTTGATTGCTTCCAAGTTTGGACAATCATGAGTAAAGGTGCTATAAATATTCATGTTCAGGTTTTGTGTAGACATAAGTTTTCAGTACATTTGGGTAAATACCAAAGAACATGACTGTGGGGTCATATGGTAGGAGCATGTTTACTTTTGTAAGAAACTGTCAAACTATCTTACAAAGTGGAGGAGTTTGCATTCCCACCAGCAATGGATGGGAGTTCCTGTTGCTCCACATCCTCACTAGCATTTGGTGGTGTCAGTGTACTATAATTTGGCCATTGTTTTAATTTCAATTCCCAATGACATATAATGTTGAGCATCTCCTCCTTTGTTTACTTGCCATCTATGTATCTTTTCTGGTGATGTGTTTATGTTCTTATGTTCACATTTAATTGGATTTTTACATTTTAATGCATCTTATGACTTATTTGTAGTTTTGGAGAAAGTCTTTGTCAAATGTCTTTTCCAAATATTTTCTCCAATTTTGAGGCTTGTCTCATTATTTTCAGTGTCTTTTGCAGAGCCAGAGTTTTTGATTCTAATGAAATCTGGCTTGTCAATTATTTGTTTGCAGATCACAGCTTTGTGTGGCATCTAAAAAGTTCTACTATACCAAAGGTAACCTATGTTTTTCTCCTATGGTATCTTCTAGGGCACTTACAGTTTTATATTTTACAATTAGGCCTATGAGTTAATTTTTGTTTAGGGTGTGAGATCTGTTTTTTCACATGTGAATATCTAGTTGTTCCACCCTTATTTGTTGAAAAGACCATCTTTTCTCCATTGTGTTGCTTTTGCACTGTCATCAAAGGTCAGTAGACTAAATATATATATATGTGGGTTCTTTGTCTGTTCCACTGATCTATTTGTCTATTTTTAAAATCAGTATTGCACTGTCTTGAATACTGTACCTTTACACCAAGTTTTAAGTCTTGAAGTTAATCAGTAACAGTCCTCCAACTTTTTTCTTCTCCTTCAGTATTGAGTTGGCCATTCTGGGTCTTTTGTCTTTCCATATAAATGTTAGAATATTTTTGATATCCACAAAATAATGTGCTAGGATTTTCACTGGCATTGCAGTAAATCTATAGATTGAATGAAAAAAACTAATATCTTGACAATACAGAGACTTTCTGTACGTGAACATGAAGTATTTCATTTGTTTGCTTTCATCAAAATTGTATTGTTTTCTTATATATCTTACATACATTTTTAAAGATTTGTACCTAAGATTTCATCATTTGAGGTGCTATTGTCAATGGTATTGTTTTTGAAATTGGACACATCCATTGCTGGCATATGGAAAGTGATTTACTTCTGTATATTAATCTTATATTCTGAAACTTTGCTATACTTTTCTATTACATCTAGGGAGTTTTCCTTGATCATTTTTTAGATTTTCTACTCAGAAAATCATGTCATCTGTGAACAAACACACTTTTATTCTAACTTCTCAATAAGTTTATTTTTATTTCCTTTTTTTATACACTAGCTAGAGCTAACTGTAAAATGTTAAAAATTTTTTAAATGAGAAGGAACATCCTTCTTCTTTCTGATTTTATTGGGAGGATTCTACTTTCTCACCACTGCATACCATATTAACTGTGAGGTCCCATGCATAGTGAGGGAACAGGACAAGGGTGCTGTACACACTGTGAGGTCCTGTGTACAGCAGGGAGACCCCACACAAGAGAACATATGAACAAAATGAGTGGTTTCCTTGCCTGGGTACAGACAGCAGGTGGATGTAGTTCTTGTATTTTAAGGTTTTTTTGGCAATTTTGTCTCAATCTAGGAGCTTTGCCCAGTTTTATAAAAAGGTTAGTTCTTGTTTTGTGTTGTTCAGGCAGGGTCAATGGTGAAAAATCATGTGCCCATGTAAAGATCTAAATGCATTAAGTGCCCTACCTCCATCTTTAAAACAGCTTTCTTTAGTCTTTACAAATAGACCCTTGCTCTCTGGTTCATTGCTTCTTGGATAGGAAAGGGCCGTGTAGAACAGCTCTCATTTACCGCAATGCCAAATTCACATACCACTTGTCATTAGGTCTCCCAAGTGACAGCTCAGGCCAGCACTGAATAGAAGCCCCCTGTCCGGGTCCCAGCCCCACCATCTAGGGAACCCAGACACATCTTTCCCCATGTAGCTGCATACTGGTCTCATGTCCTGCTGCTTTGTGGATAAGTGTGGCCCTAGGAAGTCAGGGAGGAGATGCTGGCTAGTCTCCAAGGGTACAGCTGGGAACACTGCAGGGCAGCCCTGGCAGAACTCACACAGCAGGTTAGGTTCATTCCTCTCAGCTACTCAGGATTGTCCTGAGCTGGACGTAGACAGAGAGCAATCACCTGTGGGTGGCACAGGATGTACCTGGCCCTGCTGTCCAGAGGGAGGGTGTGGACCTGGAGGGATGCCAACGGCCTGCTTGGGGGAACACTTAGGGCAATGTGTGTGGGTGAGCATGTACACATGTATACATCTGGATGTGTGTACACATCCATGTCAGTATGCATGCCTATATGTGTATACATGTAGACCTTGTCCGTAGTATGTACCCACGTGCAGCTCGGGGTGGGAATCTTTATTCCTCATGAGAAGCCATGGACTCTGGACAAAGCCTGGCCAGCCTCTGTTGGTGTCTGGGCAGATGGTTGGTATGTCCCCCTGCCCCCACCACCAGGCTGGATGGTGCGTCTGCAGGAGCCCTGTGGTGACAGTCTTGTGGCTATCCCTGCCCTTCCCTGGTGATGGAACAGGGCTCTAGGGTCAGCCTGCCCTGGAAGGCTTGGGCAAATGCTTGCCTCCCTGGGATCCCCAGAAGAACTGAGGAACCACAGCTGTCTGGCAGCATTAGAATGAAGGGCCTCAACAAACAAAGAAATAGAAAAATGGGACTCAAACCAAAAAGCTGCACAGCAAAAGGATCAACAGAGTGAACAACTTGTTAAATGAGTGAGAATGCTTGCAAAGCACACATCTGACAGGTTCTATATAGAACTCAGCTCAACAACAAACAACCCTATTAAAAAGTGGGCAAAAGACACGCACAGTTTTTCAATAGAAGATAGACTAAAATATGAAAAAAATGCTCAACATCACAATTATGAGGGAAATGCAAATTAAAATCACAAGGAGATATCATCTCACCTCTGTCAGAAAGGCTGACAAGTCCAAAAACAACAGATGCTGGCGTGGCTGCAGAAAGAAAGGAACACTTACAGTGTTGGGGGAACTGCAAATTAGTACATCTGTGGAAAACAGTATGGAAAATCCTCAAAGAACTAAAAGTAGACCTACCATCTAGCAATCCCACTACTGGGTATTTACCCAAAGGAAAAGAACTCATTTTATGAAAAAGACACCTGCACTTGAATGTTTATTACAGCACAATTCACAATCACAAACATGTGCAACCAGCCCAAGTGCCCATCAACTGAGTGGATTAACAAAATATGGTATGTGTATACCATGTAGTATACACTGAGACCCTGGCTAGGGACTCAGCCATAAAAAGAATGAATACCTTTTGCAGCAATTTGGAAGGAATTGGAGACCATTATCCTAAGTGAAGTATCTTATCTGAGGAATGGTCTGAGAGATGGAAAAACAAACACCACATCTACTAATCTATAAACGGGAGCTAAGCGACAGGCACACATGGACACCGATAGTGGAGACTCAAAAGGAAGGAAGGTAGGTGGAGAGAAATTACCTAATGGGTATGATGCTCATTATTCAAGTAGTGGATACCCTAAAAGCCCTAACTTCACCATTATGCAATTGATGCATGTAACACAATTACACTCACCCCCCTTAAATTAATACAAAGAAAAAGAAAAAAAAAGAATAAGGACTCTTCAAGGGATGGGCCTGAGTTCCTCCTTAGAGGTTGCTAAGTATAAACCAAGTAAGACAGAAAGTAGGAAACAATCCACCAGATTAAAAAAGGAAAGAAGATGAATGTTCCTCCTAATGGTGACTTCCTGGATGTGCTCCTTCAACATCTTCTTGGACTATGTCAGTCAGTTTCAACCATGCTGAACTTCTATCCAAGGCTGGCCTTGGAGGCTCGAACAGTGACTCCCAAATTCATGTGCAGCCTCAGGATGGGCCCTTATTAGCAGGTATAATCAGTGAGAGACTTTGAGATAAGATGGTCCTGGATTAGGGTGGGCCCTGAACCTAGTGACTGGCACTCCGCTGAGAGAAAGGGGAGATTTGAGACACACAGATGGGAAGATAGCCTGAGATCACAGAGTGACCCAGAACTACGCACACCCAGAGCTTCCCAAGGAGCTACAAGAGGCCATGCAGGTCCCCTACAGAGCCTCCAGGGGGAGCACAGCTTGGGACACTTTGATACTGGGCTCCCGGCCTCACACCTTCAGTAATGATCCCTGTTATAGTGCCCAAATTTGTGAGATGTCTGCAGCTTCAGGACACTAATGCTACACATGCCAGTATGGGCAGTTCAGGTCTGTGAGCCATCTTGGCAGGACCAAGGTAGGTCAGACCCTGGCTAGGGACAGGGCTTCTATGGTAGAGTTGTCCCAGTCTGCTGTGATGGGGCAGAACTGGCCAGGGCCACCCCAATTCCCCATCCCAGACAGCCATGCACCTGCTGTCCTCAAGGGCTCCAGGGACACACAGAACCCTTTGGCAGTGAACACTGACATGAGTCTTTAAGGAATGTTCTAAAATGAGCACTTCCCTTTTATTTTAAGATGGAAATGGAGCCACGAAAGTCAAAAAAAAAAAAAATCAATAGTTTTTTTTTAAGGTATAGTCATGCTATTTTCACTTTTAGTTAAAAACTGGGTAAGAAGAGAATATGCAGGGTGCTTAGAGGATGCTCCAGAGAGATGTGCTAGACTCTAGCTTCATTCAAAGAACCTCAGGACATCTAAGAGGAAAGGTGTCTGTCCTAATGATGAACATGGTGAGTAGGTCTGTGCCCTGGGACTACAGTCATCCTGGGTGGTGGTGGTGGTGGGGAGTTCCTATCCTCACTTCATTCACAGACCATGCCTGTAGGAGCTGCAAGGAGACCCTTCAGGAGACATCTTCCTCTCATGTGCAGCAAAAACAGTAGGAGGAGGAAGGCACAGCCTTGGTGCTAGGCCAGGCCGCCTGTCCCCAGCTGGGCAGAGCAGCCAGCAAGCTGGGGCATGTGTCCCCATGGTCTCAGGCCCTGTTTGAGGCAAGTGCATTCCCTTGGTGTGTCACAGAAATGTTGTCTCCCAGGCCTTCATCTTGGGGTGGGAGACATGCAGGGCAGAGACAGGAGCCCAGTGCAGGCCTGTGGGACAAGGGCAGCTTTATGTCAGCTTTCTCATCCGCCGGTTGTGCTTGTCAATGGTCAGGGTTGCCCGGTCCACAGCTGTGGTCATGTTGTCCAGGGCCTCATCCTGTCTTTCCAGCTCTGTCTCCGCATCCAGGGCCAGCCCCTTCATCCTCCTCAGGATCTGGAGAGAAGCACAAAGTCTTGGTGAGCTGCCTCTTTGTACTCTCCGAACAGACACAGCCTGTCGTCCCTACCACATCAAGAAACTTATGTGCTTGACAACTGGGACCAGAGCCCTCTGCCTAGCTGGCCACCATTCCTGGGACTGTTCGTACTTGGGTACTGACTGCAGACTGACGTAAGCAGAACAGAGTTCAGAAAGAAAAATATCTTATCTATTGGTGTAAGATGTTTCATGCATAAACACTAAAGCCGGAACAAAACAAACACAAACATCCCAAGGCTGCAGAGGACAGAAGATGTGCAGAAGTATCAGGGGCACTCAGGGCCTGGTGAGGTGTGCAAAGTGCAAGGCAGCGTGTCTGCCACCCATGAGAATGCCATGAGATGCAGAAGGGTGTCTGCTGGGGCAAAGTGGGAAATGGCCTGCAGGCTAAGGATGTGGGCAGGCTCCATTGTTCTGGCCCCACCAGGTCTATGAACAAAATCTCACTGCAAAGTGCTGCTTCACCTGCACACTTACTAAGCCTGGGTTTGTTTAAAAACTTAAAATATCACACCTGGCAATGAAAAGGAAAACGTTTTAGAAGAAATTTTAGTGACCCACCACTTGTAATAAACATGTACCCCTCTTTCAGGAAGAATTCAGGATCACTGCTTACGTCAGGAAAAAGGATCCACAGATGCTGACCCATGTGAGGCACCCTCAGTGCTGAATCCCTATGGGTTGGGCCTTCTTCTAGGGGCTGAAGTGATCAGAGGGGAGGGAACTTAAGCCCCTAGTAACTTTAAGGAGTGATGTGATGACTCAGCAGAAAGCCAGGTATCCCAGGGTCTAGGGCAGCCCTGGCTCTTGGGCTCCAGAGGCAGGTAGCAGCCCCCAATGGGATTTAGTCATAGAGATGCCTCCTGCCCCATCATGGCCTGCCCCCTGGGCTGACCAGAGGCCTTGGCAATGCTACCTAATGATCTCTGAGCAACAAGAAACAGTATTAAGGCGGAGGTGGCCAGGAGGGAGGATGGGGCGTTGGATCCAGCTTCCTCCATGGGAACACATGGCTCACATGAGATCACAAATGTGAACAAGCTGTGAAAACCAAAAAGGGCCCTGCCAGGGTGGCTGCTGCGCCCAGAGGAACCCATACCAACCCCATGTCCACCCCTCTCTGCAGATAGGGGGTGAGGGCTGGGGTCACTCCAGGGTAAGGCAAGGTGGCAGTGAGGTGAGAAGAGACACGTCGCATTTTCCAAACACAGTGTCCTTGCTGTATTCTTTGTCATGAAACAGATGAATAAACTCCTGGTTCGAGCCGGAGTCTCATCCTCTGGGAACTGGTGGAAACTCCATCAGTTGAGTCATGACTTAGAAAACTGGATGGGGCTCTGGAAAGTATATGGTGGGGTCAGCAGCCGGGGGTGGGGGGGGCTGGTGACCTCATACAGTAGGTCTTTTCCATCTTCTGCTCCCATGAGCTCACATGGCTGGTACCCAAGCCCTGTAATAAAAAGGAAAGAAACCCGCAGCTCTCTACTGGGGTGGCAGGTTCCTCCTCATCTGCTCCAACTTTTGCCATGATCAGAGGTATCCTGCTGGGAACAGCCACACTGCACAAGTCTAAATGCTCAGGACCTGTGAGGAGGCCTCGCTGGTTGGGGACCCAGATCTGCTCAAGGCTCTTCTCTGAGTCCTTGTTAACTATATTTTAAAGTGTGACTTAAGTTTATTTTAAACTGAAATATCCTTCGGAACTATAGCTGGGGAGATTGGGGAGATGGGTTTGTAGGGATTCTACCCCATGGGAAGCCCAAGTCACTTCCAGAACCCTCGATATGAATGTTTCCCACCAGCCACTCACAAGTCCTGCTACCTCCATGGCCATTTGTTTTTATTTTATAGTAACAGTGTGTGTAGTAAATCGGGAAACAAGAGAGACAAAAGTTGTCCATAATCTTGATCACTGCTAGTCAGCCATCAGTGCTGCTATGGCATGTTTTCATCCATCTTTTTCCCCTATTCCTATATCTATATACTCGCCCCCCAAAACACAAATTTGGGATTAAAGCACACGTACAATTTTGTTTTCTGTTTTTTCATCCCCTAGCTGTCCTAAATAAAAGGTAAGACTTTGGATACCTGTGTAAGGTACCCTGACATTGCTCTAAGAATGCTGCCCACTTTATCTCAGCTATGTCTCAAATTTACTACTGTATGTCTCACTAAAGAGGCAATGTGCTCCTAGCTCCATCTCAGCTGAGTTGTTCACAGCAGGCGGTGCTGCGGGCACCACAGGGACATGCCCCTAACATGATGACTCAGGCCATATCCTAGCACCCAGCAAAAAATCGCACGTCCCTTTCAAGGCAGTAGAAAGGCCCTTGACACATCCGCGGGAGGCCAGGCCTAGGCCCCGCACTGGCCCCCAGACATGAGCATCCACAGCAAGATGGCCACAAAAAGGTAGGCTCAATAGGCCACTTCCTGTTTTTTCATACCCACATGTTGACACATTAAAAAAATGACAGGTAAAATTAATTTAACAAAGTATTTTACTTAACCCAATGTCCAAAATGCCATCATTTTAACGTGCAATCAAGATAAATAATTACTGATGCTATATTATATTCTTTAACATCAAGTCCTGATGTGAGTGTCACACTTAAGAGCGCATCACACTTGGAGTGGCCACCAGTCTAAGCAGCAGGAGCTATGTAGAGATACAACCATAGCACCACACAATGCCTGTCCACCCCAAATGCCCTACACTTGCATCCACCACCCCCTCAAAAGGGTGGATGATAACTGTGTGAGACAATGGATGTGCTAAATGCCCTGATCTGATCACTACACATTATATCTATCAAAACATCACTAGGTACCCTACATGTATAATTATTAATATCTGTAATTGAAAAATGATGTTAATTTCTTAAAAAGAGGCTGAACGAACTACCTTTTTCCACTCCACAATCAAATAATGGCAAAAGCAAAAATATCTGTATTCTGGGCCTTTGCCCAATCAGATACACATATAATTGTGACCATGACCAGCTGATCTGCCAATAAAAGTTGGGGCATTTTACGTTGTACACGGTCAGAATAAGGCTGGTTCCCATTCAATGTTTTGATTTAGAGAAAGTCTCACCAAGCAGAGGACCTTAAAAAACAGAACGTGTTCCAAATAGCCCGTTGAGACCCTCAGCCCGCCTGCCAAAATTGCACTAGAAATTAATACTATGAAACTACAAAAGAGATCTTTACGGCTGCAAGGTCTGCAAAGAAAATTCCTACGTTAACCTTCAAACTACTGGTGCCTGTGGAATACTGGTCCAGATTCTTTTTCCTTTCCGAAAGGAGCTGAAGTAATTAAATGGCATCGTGTGCATTCCATATAACAGGGGATGGAAAGAATGGAACACATGAAGTCTGGCCAAGCCTTAGAATGGTTGTTCCTCCTGTGGCCCAGGATGACAAGCCGTCTAGTCATCAATGTGTGATGCTGCCAGGCCCAAAATATTGCATGGCCTCTGGGAGCCCATGGTGGACTTGTCTCATACTCTGAGCCACCAATAAATAAGCCCAGCAACCATCTCCCCTCCAGCCAGCTCTACCTTCATAGAAATTGCCTGGTTAAAGGCCCTTTGGATTTGGTGAGAAACTTTCATAAACCTTGAAGGACACAGTCCACATACGCACAGACAAGATGCAAAAATTTGCATAGGATTGCAGCCTAGTAGAAGCATTTTGAGAGAAATTATAGGAGCAGGGAGAGGTCTTGGGCTCCACCTGGCCACATATGCCCAATGGGCACTGAGCAGTGAGCTCTGTGGTCTGTGAGCAGTGTGTCAGGTGCCCATGTGGTGTTGGGAGCCAGGAAGGGAGCAGCCGTAAGTGACTCAAGCAGGAAGTGGAAACAATGTGAATGGACGGAGGCTGAGGAGGGAAGTGGATGCCTGTGGGCCCTAGGATGGCACAGGAATCACCTCCATGAAGCTCTGGTGGACTCAGACCTAGTGCTGCCAGTGTTGTCTGATCTGATAGGGATGTTACACCAGGTATACACAGAGCAAATGTGGGGAGAGTCCATGCTTTTCAGCATTTCCACTTTGCTTATAAAGACAAAAACTAAACTACGGACAGATAGCTGGATGGAGTAGAGTGGGTTTACTTCCTCAACATATGGGTTTTACACACATATACTATTGGGGTGCAAGAGGAGGACAGGAGCCTAAAGTGTCCCTGGCTATGTGTCCACAGCCCAACTGTAGCCCAGGAGGAACCCACTCCATGGAAAACAGGGTCTTGACACTTCCAAAGTGTCTGTGAGCTGTTAGTTGTCTCCACACACAGCCTAAGAACACAGCCTGTGCTGCTGTGCCTGGCCACATAGGCCAGAATTCAGCAGAGCATGCTACCCCAAGTGCAAGTCCACTGTTAGCTAGAGTGTCTGCCCCCAGCTTGTTATTAAGCTGACTCACCAAGGAACTGTGAATTTTCTTGCAGTGAGAAATTAGCAACCATTTAAGAACAGAGCTGGGATAAATCAAGCTGTCTGCAACTCGAAATAGTTCTACCAGTTGGGGCCATTAACGTGCTGCAGAGGTAGTTAAGAGGGGAAAAGTTGGCTTTCGCCCCGTGGCCAAAGCCCTGGAGGCCATAAAGAACACTCTCGGCTGCAATCTGTCACACTCGGCACTCACAGACCACCCTGGGCCTGCATAGTCCCCTCCTGCATTCCTGGGGGCCAAGGTGGTCTGGGTTCCCCTCCTCAGGACCCCCCAGGCCTCACTGTTCTTAGGGGCCTTTGAGATAGACGACTGCCCAGCTCACACTTTCACGTGTCCCTTAGCCTCACCCTGCCTCTGCTGGACCCACAGGTCACAAGCAGCCAAACTTGCTCAAGGCCTGGACACAGAACAGTGGGGGACAAAGGAGGTCCTAGGAACGGCCTGGACTGCCCAATTGGATCAAATGCACACTTCCCACTACAAGACCACAAGAGA